GCCTGTGCAGCATGGCTTACCTTTACTGTCAGCTTTACCCAAAGATCGGTCCATTATAGTGGTGGACATTAAGGATTGTTTCTTTTCCATCCCATTGTGTGCTAAAGATAGTGTTAGAAAATTAAAAAAATTCATGTTTAACCTCCTTCCAGACCTCTGGGCAGAAAGACGCCCTCCAGGATCATCTAAAGATAGTGTTAGATTTGCCTTCTGTTAAACATGAAGAACCTGATCTGCATTATAAATGGGTAGTGCTGCCCCAGGGCATGGCTAATAGCTCCACTATGTGTCAACTTTTTGTAAGTCATGCCATTGCTCCCATTAGAGAAAGATATCCTGAGGTGTGATATGGATGACATTTTAATGGCCAGTAAAGACTTAAAATTACTACATAAGGTATATAGAGAGTTGGTAAAGATCCTAGAGAACCAGGGACTATATATAGCCCCAGAAAAGGTACAACAGGGCAATATTATTGATTACTTGGGAGCCAAGATATATAAGGACCACGTAGTGCTTCAGAAAATTACTTTAAGATTAGATATTTTGCAAATCTTAAATGATTTTCAAAAATTAATAGGAGATATAAATTGGATTCGGCCATTTTTGAAACTTTCCAATCAAGAATTGAGACCTTTATATGATATATTAGTTGGCAACCCTGATTTAAATTCTCCTCGGGCATTAACTGATGAGGCCCCAATGGTATTGCAAAAGGTGGAACAAGGGCTGAGCACGGCGTCTCTAATGCGGTGCATTCCCGATCAACCCATTTGGCTTTGTATCCTGGCAACTGCGTGTCAACCCACAGGAGTACTGTGGCAGGGGGCACCGTTACAGTGGATCCATCCCAAAAGCTCAGTGACTAAGTTTGTAGAGCATTATCCGACCAGCATTGCTAATCTAGCTCTAATGGGGATCCAATTTTTTGGATGTCAGCCTGAAATGCTTATTACCCCATATTCTGCTGCCCAAATAAAAGTTTTAATTGCCTATTAGATGAATGGGGTATTTTAAAATGTAGTTTTGATGGAGATATAGATAACCCAAGCATCCCATTTTGAGCTCTTTTAAGGAACATCCTGTTATTTTCCCAAAAGTTATCCATAAAGTACCCATTGAGGGTGCAGTAACCTTTTTTACGGATGGTTCTAAGACTGGGTTCGGCACGTATGTAATTGACAAATCGGCCCCAATTATTTGTCAGTTTATGCCAGGCTCGCCTCAAATAGTGGAGTTTCAAATAGTGTTAGAGGTTTTTAGAAAAGTTTCTGAAGCCTTCGATTTAATTTCTGATTCCAATTATGTTGTTAATTTGGTTAAAAATTTGGAGGTAGCTGAAAAAATAAAAACTAACAGCCCTGTTCAGCCACATGTAACCCAGCTACAAGAGCTCATTTGGAAACGTTCGCAACCCTTTTATATCCAACACATTAGAGCACATACTGGATTGCCTGGACCAATTAGTGAGAAAAATGAATTAGTGGATAAGTGTACCTGGATGCATTTTATATTTGCCTCTCTCCCAATTGATAGAGCTCAGCAATTTCATTCTCAATTTCATGTTAATTCAAAGGCCTTGCAGCATCGCTTCGGAATATCCAGCACAGCCGCTCACAATATAGTTAAAGCTTGTAAAAATTGTGTAGTGTATTTACATCTGCCTACTTGGAGGATTAATCCTAAAGGATTGGCCCCTCTTAGAATATGGCAGATGGATGTTACTCATATCGCTGAATTTAGCACATTAAGGTATGTGAATGTCTCTGTGGATACATGATCAGGAGTGATACATGCTACTCCTTTAAATGGAGAAAAGGTACTGCTTAGAAGCTTGGGCTGTATGGGGTATACCTCAGTGATTAAAGACTGATAATGAACCAGTGTATACTGCTGCATCTTTCTCTGCATTTTGCAAGCAAATGCAGATAAATTTGAGACAAGGTCTTTCCTACAACCCACATGGTCAAGGCATTGTTGAATGAGCTCACTGAACTTTGAAGGAATGCTTAATAAAACAAAAAGGGGAAGAGGCCAAGGCCGCACCCACAAAGAGAGTATCTCTAGCACTACTGACTCTTAATTGTTTTCAACTGGATGTGGATGGGTGCTCAGCTGCTGATAGCCATCACAGTGTCCTCCCCATTGATAAGGGATTTATAAAATGGAAAGATGTCATTTCTGGACTATGGAAGGGTCCTGACCCTGTGTTATCATGGGCGAGACAGTCTTTTTGTGTTTACCCACAGGATCAATCAGAACCTCTGTGGATTCCTGAAAGACTGACCAGGAGGGTTCCTGCCTTTGAAGATGGAAAGGCACATAAGCAGAGTGATGCACCTGATGCTGACGATTATGATGGTGGTACTGGTCAACAAGATGGAAGCGGATCCACGATGGGGGATCCTGTCAGTGTTTCCTAAACCCATGCCAATTAGGCATTCTGCCCAAGTTTTTCACAAATTTTTTAGTAGCAATTTAAGTTTAAATTTACCTTTTTTGCCTTTAGATAAACATATTCGTCCTGTAGAGGAAAATGTTAGTTTTGTCCTGGGAGGGGTGCTTATCCTAGTCAGTCTCATTGCTTTATGGTGTGTCTGCAGGATGAGGGTTACACAGAGGAGAAGTAATGCCATGATTGCACAAGCCTTCACAGCCCTGGAGGCAGGGCAATCACCTCAGGTTTGGTTAACTGTGCTTAAAAGCTAAGCAGTCATCATGCTCAGGATGGTGCACTTCCTCCTTCTGTGGCCTATCTGGGATTGCCAGGTGGCATGAGCTGATTGGGCAATGAGTGCATATTTAAGGGCTTGCTGGGGCTGGGGGGAGCAGAAGATTGTTCAAGATTCCTGAATAAACTGCTTAAAGCAGAGTCCAAGCATTGTATCTTCCTTGCTGGTTGAGGTGGTCGTGATACACAGGTACCTGTGTGCAAGCAATAAATAACCTCTTGCACTTGGATCCAGTGGTCTGGTCTCATCTCTTGGGGGCAAGGGCCTTCCCCCCTGACAGGCTCCAAATTCTTGGGGTCTTTTAGTTGGAGGTTCCACCGAGATTGGAGACCCTTTCCTGGAGACTGACACTGCGCCCACCAGGAGGTAAGCTGGCCAGCATTTGACTCCTTGTTCTGTGTTCTGTGTGCTTTGTTCGTGTCCTCCATATGTCATTTTGTTCTGGTAGGCGGCTTGAGAAGGAGCTGATGGGCTCGGACTTCTCCCCCCATCACCCTGGGAGACGTCCCAGGGATCTGGAGTGCCCGATTTTTTGGGGCCCACAACGAGTCCCAGGGATTCGTGGTTTTGGAGGGGCCAGAGGGCTTAAGACCCTCTGTGCCTCCAACTCAGTATCTGGTTTCGGTTTTACGCCGAAGTCGCGCAGCGCATCTCCGTGCCGGCTGTCTGTCTGTTCTGTTTGCCTTGTCTATTTACTTGCTTCTTTATTTTGAAAAAGACATGGGACAATCTGTAACTACCCCTTTGACTCTGACCCTAGGTCACTGGAGCGACCCCAGGGCCAAGCGCACAAGCCGTCAGTTGACTTGAAGAAAAAGAGATGGCAAGTCCTGTGTGCTTCAGAATGGCCGACATTTAACGTCAGCTGGCCCTGTGATGGGACTTTCGACCTTGGTATTATCTTGCAGGTAAAGGAATGAGTCTTCGATGCCGGGCCCCATGGACGCCCTGACCAGGTGGCCTATATTGTCACCTGGGAAAATCTGGCCTCTGACCCACCCTCTTGGGTGGCTCTCTTTGTCAACTCCAAACCCCCTTCTAAATCTTTCCCCGAGACTGATGTGGCCCCACTTTCACAGGGACCCACTGCTCCTCCTTTGCCTTCTTCTGTACCACTCATTCCCTCTCAGGCTTCTGCCAAATCTCAATTATATCCTGTCCTCAAGAAAGAGAAAACCCTTCACTCCAAACCTATTCTTCCTGCTGATAAGTCTGATCTTATAGATTTACGTTCAGAAGACGGAACCTCCCCCCCTTATCAGCCCCTTACCCAGGGCACTGTAGGTGGCGGTGATGCCCGGCAAAGGGGTCCGGACAAGCCAGACAGTACCAGTACCACTCCTGCCCTGGACAACGGACAAGAAGACACTACTGCAGACTCCCCAGTAGCTGGCAGACTCAGTGGTCGAAGGGAGACAGCCACAGAAGGAACCTCCCGAGCCTTTCCCCTGCGCCAGACTGCCGGACCAGGAGGCCAATTTCAATACTGGCCTTTCTCGGCGTCCGACCTCTATAATTGGAAATCTAACAACCCCTCCTTCTCCAAAGACCCTGTAGCTCTCTCTAATCTAATTGAATACATCCTAATAACCCATCAACCCACTTGGGATGACTGCCAACAGCAGAAAGAAAAATAACGCATCTTCCTTGAAGCCCAGAAGAACGTCTTGGGGAACAACGGGAGACCCACTCAGTTGCCTAATGAAACTGAGGAAGCTTTTCCCCTAAATCGTCCTGACTAGGACTTTAACACCGCCTCAGGTAGGGGACACCTATGCTTTTATCGCGAGTTACTCATAACGAGCCTCTGCGGCGCTGAACACGGTCCCACGAATTTGGCTCAGATAAGACAGATAACCCAGGGACTGAAGGAAACTCCGACTGCATTTTTGGAGAGGCTAAAGGAAGCCTACCATATGTATACACCCTTTGATCCTGATAGTCATGAGCAAAGGGGCAATGTTTCTATGGCTTTCATTTGGCAGTCGGCTCCAGATATTAGGACTAAGTTGCAGAGACTAGATAATTTACAAGATTATAGCCTGCAGGATCTCGTAAAGGAAGCAGAAAAGATCTTTAATAAGAGAGAGACACCTGAAAAAGAAAGAAGAAAGACTCAGAAAGTTGCAGGAGAAAAGAGAGGATAAGTTAAAGAAGGAGCTAGAAGAGAGAGAGAAAGAGATCATAGGAACCAGAGAGAATTAAGCAAAATCCTGGCCATTGTAGCTCAGAATAGTCATAATTCAGGAGGTCAGGAGAGGAAGGGAGATGCAAGAAGGTAGATCGAGACCAGTGTGCCTACTGCAAAGAAAAAGGCCATTGGGTCAAAGATTGCCCTAAGAGACTTAGAAATTAGAGGCGTGGGGACGGACCCCCAAGACCAACTCAGCTTCTAGCCCTAGATGAGGACTAGGGCAGTCGGGGCCAGGAACCCCCCCCCCCGAGCCCAGGCTAACCTTAAGAGTTGGGGGTCAGCCAGTCACCTTCCTGATGGACACTGGAGCCCAACATTCAGTTCTCACTGAAACGAACGTGCCATTGAGTACCAAAACAGCTTGGGTACAAGGAGCCACCGGAGAAAAACAATACCAATGGACCACGGAGAGGAAAGTTCATCTCACATCAGGTAAAGTCTCACATTCCTTTTTGCATGTACCGGACTGTCCATATCCATTACTGGGTCGAGATCTACTGACTAAATTAAAAGCCCAGATCCATTTTGAAGGATCAGGAACCAAAATCTCTGGCTCACAAGGGGCTCCACTTCAAATATTGACTTTGCAATTGAAAAATGAATGTAGACTTTTTGAAAAGCCTCCTGAACAGCAGGAAGGAATGGACTTATGGTTAAAACAACACCCCCTGGCCTGGGCAGAAACAGGGGGCATGGGGCTGGCCATACAACAGCCACCCCTAATAATTCTCCTGAAGGCAACAGCCACCCCTATCTCAATTAAACAGTATCCTATGTCAAATGAGGCATATCAAGGAATCAAGCCTCATATTAAGAGACTATTAGACCAGGAGATCTTGATCCCCTGCCGATCCCCATGGAATACTACACTTCTGCCTTAAAGAAACCAGGAACTGGAGATTACAGGCTAGTCCAAGATCTTAGGGAAGTCAATAAGCGAGTGGAGGACATTCACCCCATGTGCCAAATCCCTATAACCTACTAAGCACCCTGCCTCCTACTCATCCCTGGTATACTGTTCTGGACCTAAAGGATGCTTTCTTTTTCCTGAGGCTGAGCCCTCAGAGTCAGCCTTTATTTGCTTTTGAATGGAAGGATCCAGAACTGGGCATTTCAGGGCAATTGACCTGGACACGCCTACCCCAGAGGTTCAAGAATAGCCCCACTATCTTTGATGAGGCCCTTCACCAAGACCTGGCAGACTTCCAGATCAGTCATCCATCTCTGATCCTACTACAGTATGTGGACAACCTCCTCCTTGCAGCCACCACTGAACAGGACTGCAAAACAGGTACTGGGGCCCTAATACGAATACTAGGGAACCTGGGATACTAAGCCTCTGCCAAAAAGGCCCAAATATGCAGACAGGAAGTCACCTATTTGGGATACAAGCTAATGGATGGGCAAAGATGGTTGACACCTGCCCGCTAAGAAACTATATCTCGTATACCCATCCCCAAAAACCAACGTCAACTTAGGGAATTTTTGGGGACTGTGGACTTTTGTAGACTATGGATTGCGGGGTTCGCAGAGATAGTGGCCCCCCTTTACCCGCTAACCAATCAAGACACACCTTTTAAATGGACTGAGGAACAACAGCAGGCTTTTGATGCTATCAAGCGGGCCCTGCTGTCCTCACCAGCCCTGGGCTTGCCAGATGTCACCAAGCCTTTTGAACTCTTTGTTGATGAAAAACAGGGCTATGCAAAAGGAGTCTTAACCCAAAGGTTAGGACCCTGGAGACGGCCCATTGCCTACTTGTCTAAGAAATTAGACCCAGTTGCATCAGGATGGCCTCCATGTCTCCGGATCAAGGACGCCACCAAATTGACTCTGGGACAGCCAATGACCATACTGGCGCCAGACGCAGTTGAGTCCCTCATCCGTCAGCCACCAGATAGATGGCTATCTAACGCCCGTCTAACTCACTATCAATCCCTGCTCCTGGATGTAGACAGGGTCCAGTTCGGGCCAATAATAATCCTGAATCCAGCCACCTTGTTACCGCTGCCGGAGTGACCAGCATCCCACGACTGTCAGCAGATCCTTGTGGAGATGCATGGAACATGGCCTGATCTGACCGATCAGCCCTTAAAGGACACGGACCACACCTGGTTCACAGATGGCAGCAGCTACTTACTAAATGGTGAGAGACGGGCAGGGGCTGCAGTGACGAATACCACAAAGGTCATATGGGCCACTGCACTCCCCAGAGGCACCTCTGCTCAGTGAGCTGAACTCATTGCTCTGACTCAGGCTCTCCAGATGGCAGCAGGTAAGAAGCTTAACGTGTACACTGATAGCCAGTATACCTTTGCCACCTGTCAGCATAATCCTGGCCCTTCTCCTAGGGGCCGGAATAACAGCAGGAATAGGCACAGGAGCCTTGAGTCGAGTCAGCCAATATGAATCTCTTCATACTGCTATGACTGCAGACCTAAAGGCAATAGAAAGATCCATTAGAGATCTCAAAGACTCCCTAGTCTCCTTATCTGAGGTAGTTCTCCAAAACCGGAGGGGACTTGACCTCCTATTTTTAAAGGAAGGGGGCATATGTGCTGCCCTCAAAGAGGAATGTTGTTTTTATGTGGACAAAACAGGAGTTGTGACTGAGACCCTAGACAAACTATGGGATCGGTTGGAAAAGAGACAGAAAGAATTTGAGGCCCAACGGAAGGTTTGAGAGGCTTTTTAATTATTCCCCTTGGTTCACAACCCTGATATCCACCATCATGGGACTGCTAATTATATTCCTTTTGATTCTTACCTTTGGTCCCTGCATTCTGAACAGACTAATACAGTTCATGAAGGAACGCTTGTCAGTAATTCAAGCCTTAGTTTTGACCCAACAGTATCAGAGACTAAAACAATTAGAAACTGAACAACAGTGAATAAAAGGTTTTATTCATTTAATAGAAAAAGGGGGGAATGAAAGACCCCCACTATGCTTATTGCCTGTTTAAACTGCTCTTGCTAATTTGCCAGGGTCAAGTTATGGGAAAAGTACAGGAGGGAACCAGGTGCTGCTCTCATCCAACGCCAGCCAGGTATCTGTGGTCTGCAGCTTGGACCAAAGCAAGGTCAACAGGACAGTATCCAGGATGCTGAGAGAGTCATAACTGAATTCTTTGTATTCTTTGTGCCCAACCCGAATAACCAACTGTCCTTGGTTAACTACAACTGCTACATTTAGATGAAACAATGAAATCCCTGTAGCCATGCTTCTGCTTCTGTAAGGCTGCTTCTTGCCACCCCAACCCTATATAAACTGCCTGAGTTTTAACCTTGGCACACTCAGTCCCCCGAAAGACTGAAGCATCCACAGGTACCTATGTGAACAATAAACAGCCTCTTGCATCCAGTGGTCTGGTCTTGTCTCTTGGGGCAAGGGCCTCTCCCTGACAGACTCTGAACTCTTGGGGTCTTTCAAAGGGACTCCACAAACCCTGTGAGGTATTGGGGATCCTCTGAGAAAGGAAGGTAGTTAGTTTTCCAATTATAAAGATCTGAGGAGGAGAAAGGCCAGTACTGTAGGGGATGCAATCTGGCCACCTGACACTGGGGGGGGGGGGGAGTCAAATGTGCACAGTGGCAAGTTCACAACTCCGTCTGTCCGTCCACTCTGGCGTGGTGGCTCCTTTCCCACTGCCAGAGCCTGAGCTTCAGGGGGGATGGAAGGTTCCCTTGCAGCACCCTGGTCTATAGCTCATCCATCCAGGTGAAGGATCAGAACTGTATCAAGAATGACTTTGAGAGACACTGAGGAAGGATAGTGTTAGCCTCTGGTCAGTCACCTCACAGAGGCGACAGCGGGGAGGGAGCCTGGAGTTCGCCCCCCCACCCTGGCCCAGAGCTGCAGTGGCGTGCTCCTGGGAGGTGGGGTACATGTGCTCTCATGGTGTCGCTGGGTCTCCTGGCCCCTAAGATGGATCCGCACAAGTGCTCACAGGTGGTGGGTTAACATGAGAGCCAGGTCAAGTCTGAAAAACAGTTAACAGCTTGGATAATCTCAGCATTAAAAGGGTTCCCTTTGGTGGCCATCCAACACTGAATGTCGGCCACTCAGGCACAAAAGTCTGCCAGAATCTACCTAACTTCAACTGACAAATTATGGGCCCAATACTTAACTTTAGTCCAGTGGTCAAGAGTCAAAATAAGGGGAATTGTCAGTGGTCACCATCTGTCCTATGATAAAACTACAGACAAAAACAAATAGAATGAAAACACACAAGACAGAGACTAACGGATCCAGATCCACACTACCTGTCCGCATCTTCCACAAGTTTGCAAAAGAATTGATAGCCATGGGGGAGGAAGCTTCTGCTTCAACAATAGAGCTCAGTCTTATCAACCAACAGAAGGAAGCAACCAGGTGTCCCTGGACCTCCTCACCCCCCACCCCCAAGGGCATCCCCCAGGGCAGCAGCCTGTGATCTTCCTAGCACATCTGCTGATCAGAGTCCCCTGGTCCTTACCCAAGAGGACAGCTGCAAACTGAAACCGAGACTGCACGTTCCAGAAAACAGATACTTAAAACAGAGACGCTGGCCGGTACACACACACACACACACACACACCAGGGGGGATCCCTTTACCTCCAAGTTGGTTCTCGAGTGTGAGGGGTGGTCGCAGTTTCCTGGCCAATACACCAAATGAAAGACTTGCAGAGCGTGGACCTTCACGCTCCCACTCAGGAAAGGTGACACCCCAAATCATTCACGAGAAGCAGTCTCGATACATATAGCATGAGGAGTTTTTATTCCAAGTGCACTGGGGTCCACAGTCATATGCTACACAGGGGTAGAGGACTGAGGACCTGGAGGGCAGAATTGAGACAGCTTTTATAGGATTTACATCAAAACTAACAAGGCCAGCTTCAAAGCTAGCCTCTTATTTTCACTAGGCCTAAAGGCAAGGTAAGCAAGGTCGTGGGATGGTTCAACACTTGGATGGTTAATAAGGTTTCCAAGGTTACAGAGATTTCATAGAGTACATAGTTTTTACAAGGCAGGATTGTTTAGTGCACCTGCAAGGTAAGGGGTTTTTCTTTCTCTAGGACCAGTGGACTCAGTGGCCTTTTCCTTGAGCAGTTGGGAGAATGTTCTCTCTAGTCAGGGAGCTATCTATATCTATTGGGAGAAGCATTTGTTCTTTCTGGTTTTTCCTTTTTGCATGAGTTCCATCTTCTAGTTTTCTTTGTGGACAGGATGACCTATAACAATTCCCAAACTGTTGTTGTGGATAACAACATTCCTCAGAAACCAGGTGGTTAAGAATAATAATAATAATTTCCAGAAACCGGTCATCATGATGTGACCAAGCAATTTCATGTGTTTTCTTTTTCCTGAGCTTTGCATGTAGCTAGGGTGGTTTTTAAATTTTAAATTTAAATTTTAAAATTTCTAACTTTTAGTAGTCATTAGCGAGTTAGGCTGTATTCTCATCCTTTCAATACATTCACATGGTATATTGCATTGTAAAGGTTATGTGATTACATAGGGAGAGAAGATACTTCATTTAAAGCAGCAAGCTGGTATGTTATGATGGTCTGAAATGAAACCAATGTTGCAAGTGAAATACTGCTTCTTTTGCACCCATTTTGTTAGCAATTCCCTTCTTGTGGAAGGCTTGTTTGGCAGATACACATTTAAAGTAGTAGAGTTGGAAAACAGACTTTAATCACTGGTTTCATCAAGAGATCCAGAATTGTAATAATCAATGTACCCTACTTAGAAACTAGGATTAGTAAGGGGAATCCCTTGAGGAGCATTTTAAATCCTGATAGTTCTTTTCAGTTTTACTAATTAACCTCAGTAGAAATGTAGAATAGACTGAAGGAGAATATTATGTTTTGGTGACAATGTGCTGTCAACTATGGCCTGGCAGCTCCTTTGTGCTCAGTTAAATGATGTTCTCCTCTCTCCTGCCATCCCTGCCGTGGAGAGCACCCTGTTCTCTACTTAACCTTACTTGGAGAATTTCTCTTTGCTTGGATGCCTGACTTATTTCTAGTATGAATCTTGATGCTGTTCCCTGCAGAAACTTTCCCCCTTTTTCCCACATAGTAATTAGGCATTGTACTATGATGACAAAGACTTGTAATAGAGCTTTATGATAGAAGTGTACTGCTTAATGAAAATTAGCTGATTCACAAGAAATGGACCCATTCCTATATATTCCTTGTATTCTGGAATAAAGCTAGCAGACTCATTGAAGTTGTCTCCCAGAAACATGTCTCCACTGTACTCACAGGCTGTACATAGCTCTCTGTCATCTTGTCTGCCTCTTGTCCTTGTGGACTGGTGTCCAACAAGAAGTCAGGAAAAAGGGGATTCCCAAACAATATACAGCACAAACAATAGCAAACACAATCAATGAGATAGTTTATGCCATAATAATATATGTACTATAACTGTTTTTTAAAATGTACTTATTGATAAACAAATATCTAAATATTACTGGCTTCAATCAAAAAACATGCTGTGGATTAACCTGGATGGTGAATTCTACCCTTAAATTGTTTTTGCACTTTTGGGTGTAGCTCATCTGTAATATTCAAAATTGTTAGTAAAAAAAAAAACTCATGCTTTTTTAGAGGGTTAATGTTTTAAATTTCAATTTCAAAAGGTAAAGCAACAACTATACTATTTAACAGTAACTCTCTGACTTTGATTTACATATAAGGATATGAATTGTCATACAAAATAAAACTAAACATTGCTTTATAAGTGACATATGAAAAAATATTAACTATTTTTTGAAACATTGGCTGTCTTCTTTCAAAAAGTCAGCAGGAGAAATTTGTCTCTGAAAATTTTGTTCTGTTTTTATTAAATCTATACAGATTGATCTATCTAAGCAAACTTTTTATGGTATCAGTTTCTGACGTTCTGAAAGAAGTTCTTTCTAACACACACTTTTTTTTTTGAGACAGGGTCCTCCTACAGAACTCTGGTTATACTAAAATGTGTTATTAGACCATGTCTTGTACTCTTAGATATCCATCTGCAACTGCATCCAAGTGCTAGGAGCAAAGGGTACACCAAAATGGCCCTTTTACATCATTTTCAGAATGTTCTTCATTGAGCACTGTAGATGTTTCATTTGCAGCCCACCAAACAGACTTAAATTTGTCTTTTTACATTATTTCCCAAAGTTTTCTAGCTAGTTTCATATCAAAAGAAATCTCAACTAAGAAAATATCCTCACAAGTTTGACCTGCACAAGTTTGTGGGTGCATTTTCTTGACCGATGATTGATGCAGGAGGGTCCAGATCACTGCTGACAACAATATCTCTGGACTGGTGATCCTGGATAAGATAAGAAAAGCAGGCTGAGAAATACCTGAAGAATTCTGTAAGTGGCATTTTCCCATTGACTCTGCTTCAGTTCCTAACTCCAGACTCCTACCCTGATTCTCTGACCTGAATTCTCTTAGCCATGGAGAGTTGTAAACAAAAACAAAACAAAACAAAAAATTCATCCCTTCCCAATTGGCTTTTGATCATGGTGTTTAACCACAGCAGTAGAAAGAAACCTTAACTACCTGGGCAGTGATGGCACACATGCTTAATCTCAGCATTTGGGAGGCATAAAATATAACATTAAAGGTCTAGCTATTATCTAAGAAAGATGCTTATGGTACAAGTACCAAAACCTAAGTGATGACCTGCTTTAATCTCCAGTAGGTGCTTATAATCACAATCCCTGAGACTTGACTGCTAACTAGCCTACCCTAATTGTCATGCCACAGGTCCAGTAAGTGAACTTTTCTCAAAAAAAAAAAAAAAAAAAAAAAAAAAAAACAGCTTCAAAAATTTGACACCAGAGGTCACCATATTTATGCACTCCCAAAGTACTCATATAGATGGAAAACACACAAAAACCCACACATACAAAATATGACAGTAAGTACTGAAAATTACAGGTAAGAATATGCAAGAATGAATATATATATACATATATATTATGCATATGTATATATGTATTTATGTATGTGTATTTACACACACATTTATTTAGGTATAGGTAAGTAAATTTTATAACTAAAGTTTTTTTTTCATAGGATAAGATTTAATCAAATTTCCCATTCACAACTCCTTACAGTTTCTCCTCATCTCCCTGGAATCCAACTCCATACCTGTTATTTCTCTCTCTTTAAAACACAAACATGAAACAAAAATTTTCAAGATTTTCATGCACAAAAAGGCCCACAAAAATGGTGAACAAAATATACCAACACAAGCAAAAGATATTAAGACAAATGATGTTCAAAGAAAACAATATGAAACAAAAAGTTCTCAAAAGTTTCATTGGGTTTGTTTTTTGTTGGCAAATTATTACTATGCATCGGGCCAGGGAAGTGTGATTAATATACCCAGTGAAACTGAATTTAAGAAAACTAAGTTTTCATTTGCCCTTAGCTATCAGTTGAAGATATGAGTGTGAGCCTGGTCCTCCCCCAGTGCTAAGAATCTATGTACCTGTCTTGAACCTGTGTAGGTCTACAGTTATATTTTTTAGTAGAAAAAAATAATGCTTTATTTTTCTGGGGTTAAAGAAATCTTGTTAACCCAGTACAGTGTGTTTAAATAACCCTCAGAAGAATTTTTCTCAAAATTGCCTTTAATTTTAGTATTTGTGTCTAATTATTAAAAATATCTAATAAGTAAAACTGATAATTTTATAATTAAAATCAGGAAAACAAAGAAGTGTGGTGTGTGAGTTTGTGTGTGTGTGTGGTGTATGTATGTGTTCATTTGTGCTGTAGTATATTCTCATGAAAGCAGTTCTCAGTTTATTTTTTTTTTCCACAGCCTCTACCTAAACCTACAAATTATTGATTTGGTTAGACTGACTGGGTAAGAAGCCTTCAGATTTCTTTTCTGAAAAACGGCTAACTCCTGGGATCCGAAATCAGTTACATAGTAAGCACTTTATACACTAGGGCATTTATCCATGGCCTTCTCCAGTCCCCACAAACCATCAGCTTTAAATCTGTAATTCTTTAATTTTAAGGAGTTTCCCTTAATTTTTTTTTTTTTTTGGTATGTTTTAAATATCATCCAAGTACTTTTTCTTTACAATTTAAAAACCCAATTACAAGCATATGGACCAGTATATTATCTGTATTTGGATGAATGATAAATGGTAGAAATTTCATAGTAGTTTTTAAAGAGCTTGATGGTAAGAAGGAAAAAAGAAAAGAATGCATATATATTTGTGAACATATTTTGGTCATTTAAAATTTTTAAACGGACAACAGGGATGTGGTACAGCGCCACAACAGCCTTAGGGTCACTGATGCCCTGGTAAGTGCTAACTCTGGCCCATTGGAGGCATGGACTTGCAATGTGGTGTTTCTTCTCGTAGCTGTTCTAACAAATTCATCTATTCATCAATTTTTATGCCCCTATGCTGACCTCGCACTCAGTAAGTACAGTTTTTATCTCTGACTCTGAAATCCAACACCGAATCCCCCCTCAAAGAGGTCCGATCTTGGTTTAATCCTCTGCATCTCCCGATTTCCCTACTTCCTTTGCGCTTGAAGACATCCGGGTCCCTCTGCCCTATTTATATTTGTTGGGAGACGGACTTGAGCGGTTAGTTTAAGTCCGGGTTACTTCAGTCTTGTGTGGCTGTTTGCGACAGAGCTTAAGAAATCAGAAAAAGGTAATGACTTCGTAATTTTAGTAGTAAGCAATGATTTTATACCTCAGGAAAGATAGCACAGTTTATTATCTGCTACAACAGGAGAAATATAATTTAGAGTGAATTTTCTGTCATACTTGGTAGGAATGTTTTAAAATGCTAATTTGAATGTACATCATAATATGTATTTCATACGGGAGTTCCGTTATTTTATGAAAAGGGGCACAAGTCCATAATATATGAGAGTAAACTTGTTTGAGAAGGACGGAATTGGAATCTAAACTTTATATTTTTCTGATAATAGATGACTGATGTTTTTAAATTAGTTGCTGCTATTTGTTGTTTAACTTAAGTTTTTGGCGATACGGAATTGTAAGGTATTTGGCCGAACGCACCGAGTGTATAGGCACCATTTTGTTTCGAGCGCTGTCTTTGTTCGTTCCACAACAAAGAGGTAGCTTTTCTGCCTCAGAGTGCGAGAACGGAACTTTAATGGTGCTATATTCTGCAGGCCAACACTTGTTACTGCCATAGTACCTTTGTCTAGGGCCAGGCGCCTGATAAAGCTACCACGTATTTACGGTGGGCATCAGAAAGACGACGCCTGTATAGAGTAGGCTGCCGGACTATGGCTTCCCGGTCGAGACAAGCTCGTGCTACGCCATTATGTTGATAGGTTAGAGTGCAGGATGACGTTACCGGTTTACATTAGGCTCCACCTCCTACAAGGGCAGGCTGAAACTACTCTACCACTGCGATAGGTTAGACGTGAATACGTGACTTGCGCCTGCGTACTGCCGGGTAGTTAAGACACCGCCTTCTGAGGTAGTCTCGTGCTACCGCCTCGTGCGACAAGCTCTATCTCCATGGCTGCTGACTAGATAGAACAGGTTTGTGGAATGCTGCTGGCGTATTATGGGTGGGCTGGTGGGACAAGGGGTTGTACGTAGAGCCGACTTGTGAAAATGCAGTGATTTGAAATGGCAGTTTTCTAAGATACAGCCCCCTCGTTACATTAGGCTGCGAAGATGCTGCTGCCTGCTCAGGTGTATTCCTCTAAGATATCTCCGACAGTGTATGGCCAGCCTGTGAAATGCAACAGCCTGTTTGTGAATAATGCTAAGACACCAGTTTCCCTGAACTAGGGGCTTGTGGGAGGAAGCTACCGGGTAAGGCAGGCTAACAAGATTCCTCAGTGCGGGTGGGCCACACTGGAAGTACATCAGAGCCCGTAAGCCAAGGACCCTAAGATACTGCTGCCTGGGTAGGGCGCACTACTGAAATGCTGGGTAGGGCAAGTAGACAAGTTTCTTAGACTCGGGAAAAAAAAAAAAAAACAAAACAAACAAACAAAAAAAAAAAAAACAGGCTTCTGCTGTAGCACTCGCGCAAAGAAGGTTCCTGACACGATTCAAGGGAGACCTTACCCTTTGAGAATCCTATGCACATGGGATACTTCCTGAAAACCCGGTAGTGAGGATTGTCTATATAAAGCCACAACAGCGTAGCCTGAGTAGGACATATTTGTTGGACCGTAATCAGGCTGGGAAAAGCAAACTAGTGGACCAAGCCATCAGAATAAAACAACTGCTTCTTGAGAAGTACAGGGCCAGAGATCCACCTCTGACAGAGTAGGACAGGTTCATGGGATGCCAAGGATTGTGAAACGTAGAAAATGGGTCATCCATCTAGTAGCATAGACTGATAGAATACCACACTTGCAAAAGGCTAGTAATGGGTTGCACCAGTGTGGGTAAAACAGAGTAGTGGGCATCTGTATCTAAAAACGTGGGCTTGAGGAAAGAGAGAGTTTGGAAAGGGCTGATTGAATGGCTGCCTGTGTCTTAGTAAAACAGTCTACCATCTGTTTGGGTATGGGAGGGTAGTTGAACGCCTATCTTAGGTTAAGACAGGGTTCGGTTACATTTGTAAGAGCACACTTATGGAATAGTATACCTCGTGGTTTGCCTGTGTTAATGGGGCCAAATCTCCTGGAACTGGAATTATAGTTTGAACTAACATGTGCTAGGAATCAATCTGCATCCTCTGAAAGGGCATCCAGTCCTCTTCAAGTGATGACTCATTTCTGCAGTTTCATAGTATTCTTGTTTTGGGCATATTATAATGGTATTTTATCCTTTTATCTACTTACAGAAAAATGGCAGAAGTTGATCAGCCTGGGAAAATTTTCATAGGAGGCCTCAACACAGAGACCAAACAAAGAACTCTTCAAGTAGTATTTGGAAGATTCGGACCCATAACACAAGGTACCTCTTATAACCAAACTATAAGTCTCTTCAGAATAAATATAAAGTAGTTTTTGTAAAGGATACAAACTACAGTATGTTCAGTTTTGTAATGGGGTGTGTGTGTGTGCGTGTGTGCATGCATATATGTATGCTAAGGATAAATGATAAAACACAATAACAGGCTTGCACTAAATTTATTTTGTGTTAATATTAAGAATAACAATGATAATATGAAGTGTACGATTTTAGATCTTTGTTTTCTTTTCTTTTTCATATTTTACATATGGATCCCAATTCCTTTTCCTCCCTCCTCTTTTCCTTTCTCCTTCCTTCCCTCTTATCCCATCCCCTCCCACACACACACACACACACACACACACACTCCCTCCACAGGGAGCGCGGTGCCTCACATGAAGGGTCATCTAAATCTGTCAAGTCATTTGCAGTAGGGACTAGGATTTCTCTCCTACCTCTAGGTTAAGGGAGTTTCCCTACGTGGGGAACATGCTCTCAAAGTCCTCTTGTGTCCTGGTTCCACTGTCTGAGGTCCCTTAGACTGCTCAGGCTTTCTAGCTGAGACCCTTGTTCAGGGGATCTGAGTCAGTCCCATGCTGGATTCCCAGCTATCAGTCTGGGGGTCTATTAGCTCCTCCTTGTTCAGGTCAGCTGTTTCTATGTGTTTCTGCAGCATGGTCTTGTCCTCCCTCTCTGCATCTGGATTCTAGTTGGACTCAGTGTTTAGTTGCAGGTACTAGATGAGGGCTCCATGATGGTATATAAGATAGTCATCAGTCTCATTATCAGGGAAGGGCATTTATGGTAGCCTTTCCACTGTTGCTCAAATTTTTAGTTGGGGTCAACTTTGTAGGTCTCTGGACATTTCTCTAGAGTCGTTTTGTTTGTTTAGTTTTTGTTGTTGTTTTGTTGTTTTTTTTTTAATGTATACTTTGCCTTAATGATTGGTGCTAAGTTGTGCCTAGCCTGTCAAATTAAGGATCCTGTGAATTACTAACTCTTAAAGAACTGATAATTTTAGAAATAGCTTTATTAGTTTGTAAATTAGAAATGTCTATGTATATTGCAGTTATTTTGATGAAAGATCGGGAAACTAAGAAGTCTAGAGGATTTGCTTTCATTACTTTTCAACGTCCTGCAGATGCTAAGAATGCTATCAAAGAAATGAATGGAATGGTAAGAATATAGTTAGAACATAGTATGTTAGGCAGTTAATACTATTAATTCATGTTTTCAGTTTGCTAAAATATGAACCAAAATTATTTGACACATTTTGTTTTTCTTTTTGTGTACCAATAACAAAATTATAATTAGTAGAAGATTTTAAACATTGTCATATGCATGGTATTAGGTTCATGTTTTACTTCGGTGTGAATTGTGATATAATCTTTAAGAGAAACTCAGAGTAAATAGGAATTAGCATACTGTTGGAAAATTGGAAACGTTTGGCAATTTATGCAAGAAATTTTGTGGAAAATACTCTTCAGAAAGTTGTTTGAGTAAAATTCATCTCCAAATAGATTGAAAGTCTTAATAGACACCAAGTAAGTCAAAATGATTTTATTGTCAGAATGTATGACTAGATACTTCCCTCAACCATTGCTTATTTTTACCAACTTGAAATTCTCTTTTTGTCTTTCAAAAACAGCTGTCTTATGTAAGAATGATTTTAAAAATGATCACCTCATTACTTCATGAAATTGTTTAGAAAATTGATACTTTGTTTTCCTGTGACTAAAATTTCCCACAGCAGTTTCATATATAAGTATATGTGTATATATAAACACACACACTTCCACTTCCAGTAACTTTCATGTTTCTTTTCTTTGGGTTCTTTAATATACCATGTTGTTTTGGGTTTTTTTTTTTTTTTTTTTTTTTTTTTTTTTTTTTTTTTGGAAAACAGGGTTTCTCTGTATTGCTTTGTCCTGGAACTCACTCTTGTAGACCAGGCTGGTGTCGAACTCACAGAGATCCACCTGTCTCCCAAGTATAGGAATTAAAAGTGTGTGCCACCATTGCCTGGTTGCCATTCTGTATTTAAACTTTATTTTTCAGATTGTAAAAAATTTATGTTCTCTGGTTTGTCCCATCATTTTTCTTTCTGAAAACATGAACTTTTGTAAAACATCATTCTAAAAATTAATACTTGATGCAGTAAAGGTGTAAAGTATTCAAGTTAATAAATTTATCAGTGTTAGTAATATTCTTGATCTTTTTTAGTCTTTGGATGGAAAAAAAATTAAAGTAGAGCAAGCCAACAGACCACCACTTGAAAGTGGTAGTCGGCGGAGACTACCACCCTTTTCAAGAGCAAGAGGCCCTTCAAGAGTTCTGAAATGTGGCAGAGGAGGAAGTAGCAGAGGAAGAAGTCGTCCTTTGCGTGAAGAAAATTTGGGTAATTTTACATAGTAGTAGCAATAGGACTGAAAGTTAGATAATGTAGTCAGAACTATTTCTTTTATCCATATTCTTATAAGCAAAACTATTACTTTTAATTAGAAAAGTATCGCCTTTTTTTTTTTTTCGTTGTGTTTTTTGGGTTTTTTGAGGCAGGGTTTCTATGCCTGGTTGCATGGTTGACCAAGAACTTGCTCTGTAGGCCAGGATGGCCCTGAACTCAGAGATCTGATGTTTTTCTTCTGGTTTAGTAGCTACACATGAATCTAGTGATACTTTAATCATTGTCTGCTGCCCCAGTGCCCCTCAGTCAGCACCCTTGTAGACCCTAAGACCATGGCCTGGTGGGACTGCCATTCCTGTGTTATCCAGGTTTAAATTAATTCTTCTTCATCCTGTATATCAGTAGGACTCAGAAGGCAAAAGCCTGGGGTGAAAACCTAATAGCTCAGAGAGGCTCAGTAGCAACTAGCTGACCTTCCTTTTTGGCTGGAGATACTACAAGAGACAAGTCTCTTCCTTTGACCTTGAACCAAGAGAGTTCTCCCCCCCCCCCATTTTGTTCCTGTGTGTATTCTCTATCCAAATTCCTTGCTTGTTTATGGCCAATTCTGGTCAGCTAGTCACTGACTCTGCCCCCTGACTCAAGGCATAACTTTACTGGGAACCTCTGGGGTGTCAGAGTGCCATCAAAATATTCCACAAGAAATCCAACTGCCTCTGCTTCCTGGTTGTCAAGAGTAAAAGCATGCATTATCACCACTGAACTAAAAATTATTTAAAGTACTGTGAGATTAATATAAACAATTGAAAATTTAATTTAAAATTTAGTCAGTCTTGTATAACATAGTATAAAAGAATTCAAGGTTCTTAAGCTATTTATATAAGCTCTCAGCATTCAACAGGTTTTCTGCAAAATGTATTTCTAATTATGTTTTTAGTTTTCTGCTGTAGAGCATCCCACTATCAAATGTGAATTGTACCTCTATTAGGGAAGTTAACATCCTAATATGAAAATAAACTTGATTCCAAATGCTCACACAACTCAAAAATATATATTTCAAATATTAGATGTTTTTGTGCATTTATCTAAAACACTATTCATTTGTCCTTTAGATGACAATTAGTATATATGCCTGCTGAACAAATTTATCCTCCTGTAATTACCTAAACCTTGAACAGATTATCTAAACCATGGTACAGATTAAAAGAAACCACACGTGGTATGTAAATGAGAATATGATGCATTAAAATGGTCAAGAGTATTTTCTCACTTTAGAAAATAAATGTAAAGTTTATTAGAATATGTATTTTATTAACTAATTTAAATAATCAAGATATGATAACAGGTTATCTATTGACAGGTGGTATATTCTAAACTGATTTTACATTTTGTAATGTTATACAAAATGTTCTTAATAGTTAACTCTAACGTTAGTTTCACATGCATGATAATCAAATTTTATTTGATTAAAATGTTTGAACTAGATGAACAGTGGTGGTGCATGCCTTTAATCCCAGCTCTCGGGAGGCAGAGGCAGGTGGATCCCTGTGAGTTCGAGACCAGCCTGGTCTACAGATTGAGTATCAGGATAGCTTCCAAAGCCACAGAGAAATCCTGTCTCAAAAAAATGTTTAAACTAAAATGATTTTAAGAATTTAATATGTATATCGTAAATATTACTTTCTAAATTAAAATAATTACTCTGTGTCTGTATCTTAACAACAGTATGATGTATCATTTCCTTTTTCACTGTATTTTTGTTTTTAGGTTAGTTTTTGGGTTTACATTTGGATAACAATTTATTGCATAGGTATGTGTTGCAGAGTATTATCAGAGACAAGAAATACATGAAAGCTAATCCACTATTTATAGTTAATGAAACAATTATGTTATAAGTATTTTTTTTCTTCCACTCTAGTTCTTTGCCATTTATTTAACAGACTACTGTTTTTAGTTATGCTATAAATGTTCATATTGCCTTTATCAACATACTGTTTGTTTGGATTATAGTTATAAAAGGAAGTAGTAAATTTTAACAATTTAGAAAAGTACTAGTTTCTAAGACCACAGTATTGCTTAATAAAGGTTTATGGTGATAAATCGACCTTATACTATGAAGTATTGATGCCCCTTATCTAAGAAGATTTTTTTCTTTAAATACAGATGATGATGGATATACTACTGATTTTGACACGAGTTCTTCTCGGAGACACTTTGCAGTTAAAAGAAGTTCATCTTCAAAAAATGAAGGGCCTTCTTCTAAAAGATCTGCTTCTTCTGCTCTGACAAGAAACAGTACTGGACTGAGAGGACGGGGTAAGTACTTGCCTAACAGGTAATGAGAATAAGAAAATTTTAACAAGTTGCCAGTAGATGTTTGACAGTTAACAAGGTTATACAAAACACACATATAAAACAAAGTAAGAAATTTCTAGGTTTCTAGGATTTAGAGAATTATAGATGGTAGAAAGCCAACATGATGAAGCATGCAGTAATCATTATTAGTAAATATCATTAAAATATAAGTGGGAGAAATTTATAGGTAAAATAATGAAATAATAAATTACAAGGAAAAAATTCTTAAGAATAAAATAATTAAAACAGTTCATTTAAATCATTTGTGAGGTACAGTTTACTGATATGACTTATAGGAGGATGTATGTTAGAAAATGGCACAGTTAAGTGATTAGTATTGTTAATACTAGACAAGTGTACAGATCTTGTATTACAGTATTTTAAAAGTTACTTTGGAAACAAAAATCTATTGCTTTTAATTTTACTATGAAACATTTGTAACTTGAAGTAATTGTATAGTAATTGTGTTGATGTATTTCCAGAACCACATGGTAGAGAGATTTCTAGAAATGTGCCAAGAAGAGAGACGGTGTCTTCTAGAAGAGAAGACTATGTATTACCAAGAGATGATGGCCACTCTTCTAAAGATAGGTAAAGGAAAATAGCAAAATTGTTAAGTTTTCATTGTTTGGGTAATATGTTAGACTCTTTATTATATTCAGTATCATACAAAAATATTTTATGTAATCTCAAAGCCTTTTCTTTTTTTTTAATTTTTTTTTATTTTATATAACCAAGTCCATTTAAATGAAAACAAACATTTATAGACAATATTGGGAATTGGGCATCATTCTTTCCAAACTACTTCCTGCTGGTAAGGGGCGCTGTCGTGGGGGATTCTAAGAAGATGCAGAAATCCTGGCTGTAGTCTGTAAGGATGCTTTGTCCAGCTGTTTTGAATGTAGGATCACCTGGTACTCTGTTTCAGGTGATCTGACTTGATCAAACCACATTAGTCTGGAAGGAATCCACATCTTTTCATTTTCTGTGGAAACAAAAATAGAAATCCTTTTCCCCAGTAATTTGTCCTTGAACTTAAATTTTAGAGTCAAAGCATTTTTTTTAATTTAATATTTTATATGTCGATCCCAGTTCCCTCTCCCTCCCTCCCTCCTTCTCCACCTTACTCCCTCCCTCCTTCCCTCCCTTTTACCCTCTCTGCCCTCTCACATGCACTCTAACCACCCTCCCATCCCCCCCACCCCAATTCCATATGTAGGGGAATGCCATCCAGGTGGGGTCATGTATATCTGTCAAGTCATGTGAAGTAGGGACTAGGGCTTCTATCTTGTCTCTAGATTAAGGCAGTTATCCCTCCATGGGGGATATGTTCACAAAGTCCTTTTGTGCACCAGGGATACATCCTGGCTCCACTGTCTGAGATCCCTTAGACTTCTCAGTCCTTCTGGCTGAGACCCATATTCAGGGGGCCTGAGTCAGTCCCATGCTGGCTTCCCAGCTATCAGTCTGGTGGCCCGTTAGCTCCTCCTTGTTCAGGTAAGCTGTCTCTATGTGTTTCTGCAGCCTGGTCTTGTCCTCTCCCTCTGCATCTGGGTTCTACTTCAACTCAGTGTTTATGTATGGGTGTTTGCTCCTGTTTCCAACAGGCATTAGTTGAGGGCTCCATGGATAAGTTAGTTGTTGATCTCACTCTCTGGGAAGGGCATTTATGGTAGCCTTTCCACAGATACTCAAATTGTTAGTTGGCAGCAGTCTTGTAGTTCTCTAGACATTTCTTTGTGTTCAATTTTATCTTCAAACCAATATTGGCTCCCTCTTTTATGTTCTCTCTCTCTCTCTTTCTCTTTCCTGTCATCTATTCCTAACCGGGCTCAATCTTCCTGGTTGCACGTGTTTTCCTTTCCTCCCCGTTGTTTTCTCCTACTTCTCTCTCCATTCGCCACCTTATTGCAGTAAATAAGGATCAGGATAAACAAATAGGCCGAATAGATGTTTATTCAGGGAGAAATAACTTACAACCTAGACAGATGAACACCAGGAAATTCAACCCGATCCTCTCCTGTCCGAGTCACGCCAGCAAGAGCGCGCCTTCCTGCCCCCCTCCGACCTCCTTCCTCAGGTCACCTCCGCCCATAGCTCCACCCCCCAATGGGCGTGGTCAGTGCTACAGAAGGACTACCTCACTACACCACCTTTCTTATATTATAACTACCTTCCAAGGCTGGTGAGATGGTTTAGTAAACTAACTAATCTGCATGAAGGCCTAAGGAGATGCCCAGATACCATAAAGTCTCAGGAATTTTTTATCTGGCTTCTACACAGTAGCTGGTACACACATGTTTCTCACAAATACACACAAAGAAAAACTAGTTACATGAAATATCTTGTACAAACTGACAAGATGGCTCAGTGAGGCCATACTTCTTTCATAACATGAAGACTTGAGTTCAAATAATCAGCACCCATGAATAAAGTCATTTATAAAGCCAATAATCTCATCTATGTTCTGAGGACCTCATGGGCCTGGTAGCCTTTAGACTATATGGAAATTTTCCAGGATAGTGAGAGACACCGTCTCAGACAAAAATGTAGAATATACCTAAGAACCAACAGTTGAGGATGTCCTTTCACATTCACACTCCTGCTCTGTATATGGGTAACTTAAAAAAATATACCATCTATTCTCAATACACAAAATAATCACCTTCAAGTCACACAATCATACTTTTTTCTACATATATAATAATAGTAGATTCAAACAATATACCATATTCTGATTTGAGCTGTTTACCTTAAAATAGTATTTTCAGTTTAATAGGATTTAAATTATTTCATTTCTTTTATGACTTAGTTACATTCTATTACATGTCCATAATATTTAAGCTGCCTGGTCTTCTTGTGACATGACAGTGTTAAAGATATTTATGTACAGATATTAGAGTTCTTATTTCCAGTTATTTAAAGTGTACTGGAGTTGAATTGTTGAATTTTGTAAAATTGCTATTTTATATAACTCCAGTGATATGTCAAGGTTTTAAGTTTTTCATAATCTGTTCCTCTCCCAAGCATTGCATTGTCTGCATTTTTTAAATTTTAGCAATTCTGATAGCTGTACTTCATTAGCATATTTAATTTTTATTTATTCTTAACTGTTCCTTAATTTTAAGGGACCCAGTTCATGTTTGGGACCATTGGCATATATTGCTTAGATAAGTACCCATTCATTTATTTTACCAGATCCCCTGGATTAACTGACCATGTAGCCAGAACTAATTGGCCAGTTCCAGGACAATGAGAAACTCATACATAAAAAGGTAGATGGTTATTTTTAATTTCTTAAGTTATTCTAGGAGAGTTTATCCCAGTTCTCGAGATACCAAGGAATATGCTTCAACATCTAGAGGATATGGATACCGTGATTATGACTGTTACAGCTCTCGGGATGAACATGCTTCTAAAGTCCTCAGGTATTACAATTTCTTGTGAAATGTGTTCCTGAAAGTATTCTTGTGTTAATTAAAATTTTATTTTGAAATTTAGTGAACATGTTGACTATCGCAGGGGACGTGATAGAGATTTTTCTGGATATTCCACTGGAAGCTCATACAGAGATACATATGAAAGTTATGGTAAGAGTCTTAATTTGACTTCATGAATAATTTCTGTCTGAATTTTACAGAAATGTATTATTGATTAATTTGAGGGTGTTTACATTGTAATTCCTGAATTCTTAACCGATTTCTATTAATAAGCATTTATTCTTATGTTTATTGTATGTGAAAAAACATTTTAACATAGTATCCATCTGTATTACTGAGTACAGAGACAATATGAATAGTTTTTTAAAAAAAAAAAAATCCCACCCCATCCAGTAGCTGATGGAAACAGAGGCAGACACCCACAGCTAAACACTGAGCCATACTCCTGGAATCCAGTTGCAGAGAGGGAGGAGTGATGAGCAAAGGAGTCAAGACCAGGCTACAGAAACCCACAGAGACCGCTCACCTTAACAAGGGTGGGGGAGCTCATGGATCCACTCTGACAGCTAGGAAACTAGCATTGAACCAACCCAGATCCCCTGAATATGGGTGTTAGTTAGTTGCGAGGACTGGCAGTCTGTAGTATACAAATGGACTTTGGGAGTCCACTCCACATAGAGGGATACTCTCTCAACCTAGACACATGGGGGAGGGGCCTAGGCCCTGCTCCAAATGATGTGACAGACTTTGATGATCCCTTATGGAAGGCCTCACTCTCCTTGGGGAGTGGATAGGGTTGGGATGGGGGTTGCTCTAGGGAATGGGAAGACAGGAGGGAATGTAAACTAAGATTGCTTTTAATTTCAATAACAATTTTTCCATTTTCAGGAAATAAAAGAATATATTCGAAAGTATTTGGACCTCAAAAAATCATAATATCATATAAAAATAAAACATAATTTTGTTGTTTCTTACTTGGTTATTTATCTGTTTTAGGAAGCTTCCATGAGGCACAATCTGCAAGAGGGACTTACAGTGGAAACAACCGCTATGATGACTATAGTAGCTCACGAGATGGATATAGTAGAAGCCGAGAAAATTACTCAAGCAGCCGAAGTGATATATATTCAAGTGGTTATGAACGTAGTGATAGGCAGGGAATGCTTCCACCTATTGATAGGGAATACCATGAGCATGGAAGCAGACAAGAACGAGGGCATTCACCTATGGATAGGATGTATACTCTTTCTCGTGAGTCATATAGTAGTAGTTCAAGGTTTGGGAGCACCAGTGGAGGTCGTGGAGAAAGCAGATATGAAAGTGGAGGCAGGTACTAAAAGTCTTAAGTTATGTACCTAACTTCATTTGAAGAAAAATAAAATGTTATCCTTATGTTACCTGAATAGTAAAGTATGTTGATTTAGGAGATAAGGCATATACTGAGTTTATTGTGAAGTACATTGGTTTTGGGGGAAAGTAAAATAGTTAACTTTCCATCCATGAATTCTTCTAGAAGTTAAGATGTTAAGATGAGAAGAATGTAACTGATAAAAAGTAACTCTTTGTTAACTAAGACTTGTTAATGTTAATTTGAACAAATAGAAGTTATTAGTAGAGATTAAGTTTCTGCATTTTCATATAAGTAAATAAAAATTGAAATGAAATGCTATTGCCTGGTTTTGTAGTTGAGTAATAGGAACATAGAAATGCCTTTATTTAACTAATGAATTCATACATATGCTTAAGGATTAAGAGTCACAAACTGAGTTATGTTTAAATATATAGTAGAATTTTGTATCATTTGGAATAAGCAACTTCATTTAAATATATGCAGCTATATATAAGATATAGATAATATACATAATATATAAGCCTGCAAAAGCTCACAGAATGAGCATGCATAAGTATGGTGAGCATGCATAAGTATGGTCACCCATGCTTCAGGTCTGTTTCTGTACCATATTCTTATCAAACAACTTTCTGACCAATGTGTTGGTTTCATTATAGCCATGGTATTGACTTTATAGCCATCAGGAAAGATTGCAGTCCTGGAAGTAAAACCTTAAAAGAACACAGTGTGGAAAATGCTAAGACTGAAAATGGTAAAAGGAGAAAGGACAGAAAGTTGAGAAGGATGAAAGATCTCTGTGTACTAAGGCTATGTTACAAGATCAGTCAACTTTTGGATACATAGTAGATTGATGGCTCAAATATAAATCCATTACCATATAAATGGAAAACTAGAGGCATTTTGCCTCTAAAGGGACTGAAATTGTTAAAGCTTGGGTTCTGTGATCTTAGAAAGCTAAAACTAGTTCCAGTATCTACAATTAGTTCCAGTATCCACTAGCCTTTGATCCCTTAGTGTTAGCACTTGGAGTGTGGTGGAGCACAGCTGCAAATAGGAGGCTCTAAGATGACAGGCAGCAAAAATTAAGGCCTACACTAAAGACCTGTTGTGGAATAATCCTCTTGTACAATGTGAATATGTGGTAAAGCTAACTGGTTAATAGCTAGGAAGGAATAGGTTACATAGGAGAATGGAATAAACTACTCTGAAGACGTATAGGGTCACCAGCTAAACAGAGGAAGCAAAACAAGAATAAAATGAGGTAACAAGCCATGAGCCATGTAGCAGCATGTTATAGATATGGGATAATTTGAGTTGTAAGCATTAGTTCCCAAAAAGCCTAAGCCATGGGCTGAGCATTTATAACAAGTGTCTGTGTGATCATTTAGGAGCTTGCTAGTAAGACAGAAACTTCTGCTGCCAAACTGGCAGTGAAATAAGCCAGTGTATCCTTACTCTTGCTTAAATCTTGACTCACATCTTCCTAAGTTTAGCCCTCACCAGTGTTCACAGAAGCTCAGAAAAATGAAGGACCAGTCATTTGATCTGACATTCCATTTCTGTGCAGTTCTATGGATCAAAAGCTAGGTTAAGTGAAATTGGATGCCAGGTTTTATATCCAGGGCTATAGGGATTACTGTTAACTCATTGCATACCTAAAACACATTGTGCTATAATAACATTCCTAAGTGTAATTCTTTAGACTTCATAAGACCTTAGGGATTTCTTTTTCACATAGTGGAGATGTGGTAGATTACTGTTGATAAAAAACAGTGTATACCCAACCATATACATTTTTTTTAAGACAGGGTTTCTCTATATTGTTTTGGAACCTGTCCTGGAATGAACTCTACAGACCAGGTTAGCCTCACTCAGAGTTCCACCTGCCTCTGCCTCCCAAGTGTTGTAATTAAAAGGGTGTGCCACCACTGCCTGGCCAGAGTCAACCATATTTTTTATAAGAACTTGTCCAGTATGTTTTTCACACCCTGCATAGCTAAATCAGTTGAGAAAGGAGCCACCCTTCACATAAGGGACATTTAGGCCCAGAGTGCTAATAGGGCCATAAAAACTGCAATGTGTGCATGAGCTACTGTTAGGAAAGATGCTACTGAGAAGACAAAGGAACTACTTGGATATCAAGACAATTTTTGGTGTTCACTGTGCTACCAATTAATTTTCTGCAGATAACTAAGAAAAAACTACTCAAGTCATGGAAAAAAAACTTAATATCTAATTCTTGCAGTGGGTCAGGGAAGTTAACTACAAAGTTTGATTAGCAAGTGAATTGCCAAAATATGCTTTCCTCAGCATCATCATCTTAGCAGGTTCTGCCTTGATTCAAAAAATTGTAGACAAGCATTGCCTAGTACTCTTACTATATACCTTTAGCTTTGTATGTATTCACTTCCAATCAGATACCTCATGCAGTATGTGACATGGGTTTCTACTTCCTATTCATCTTGAACTGCTAAGGATAGATCTAACCTAATGCTCAAGGAGTTTATTTTTTGTTTTCTTTTTCTGATGTTAAGCAGTTTTCTGCAATGCAATGTCAGAGTGGCCTCCCATATCCCTAGTGGGTGGTCATGAGATTCTTGTTTTCCTTATCTCAACATACTGCTGCCTTCTGGAGGTCAACAAAGGTGTCTATTAGAATATGTACTTATGAAGGCCTATTGACTTATGGATGGGGTATGCAGGATAAACATAAGCACAGCAAAGGTAAAGAAAGATAGCTTTGGAGACCAGCACAAAACAAAGTGAATGGAAGTATAAGAAGTTATTAGAATGAAGATTGTATATTGAGTCCCAGGGCTTATGGCTTAGAAAAAGGTGAGCAACTTCTGCTCACATGTCATTAAACTTCAACAGGAAGCCAATTCCTAACTTTTTTTTTCCACATGTATCAGAGCAAAAACAATATAATGTTTCAAACTCCACCATCAATTTAAAACCCACTTGTCTGACATGGCTACAGAAGTGACAAGATCACAGAAGTAGCAGATCACAGAAGACCTTGGGGAACCATCTCTGCTGAAACAACAGATGAGTTAGCTATCTGTTAAAACCTATCAGGCTTAGTTCCTGCTGGGTTCAGGCTCTTTGTACAATACTTAGTTTGTCTTTGTTAGCTAAGTTTAGATGTAAGACACAGACACCTAGGACTAGATTAGACAATAGTGCAGGGAAAAAAAGTACCTGCTGCTATCCAGTAGCACATTCCTGTAATGTAGCCATAGGCCTGCGGTGCCAATCTCATAATTGCAGTGTCAATTGCTTGCCTATGGCTCTTAGACTTCTCTTCTGTTAGCTGGATTTTTTCTCCCATCCCATGCCCCCCTCCTAAGGGAGGGTGATGCCTTCCAGGAGGGATCATCAAAATCTGTCAAGTCATTTAGAGTAGGGACTAGGCCTTCCCGTCTTAAGGGAGGATTCCTCCACGGGGGATGTGTTCCCAAAGTTTTTGTGCACCAGGGATACATCCTGGTTCCACTGTCAGAGGTTCTTTAGAGTGCCCAGGCCTTCTAACTAAGATCCATGTTCAGGTAATCTGAGTTGGACCAATGCTGGATTCCCAACTATCAGTCTGGGGTCCATTAGCTCCTCCTTGTTCAGGTCAGCTGTCTCTGTGGGTTTCTGAAACCTGGTCTTGTCCTCTCCATCTGCATCTGGATTCCAGTTTAGCTCAGTGTTTAGCTGTGGGTGTCTGCTTCTGTTTCCAACAGCTACTAGAAGAGCGTTCTAGTTACCCATCAATCTCATTATCAGGGAAGGGCATTTATGGTAGCCTTTTCACTGTTGCTCAGATTGTTAGTTAGGGTCAGTCTTGTAGGTCTCTGAACATTTCTCTACAGTCAGTTTTCTCTTCAATCCTATAATGGCTCCCTTTTTTATGTTATCTCTCTCCTCTCATCTATTCCTCCCCAGACTCAATCTTCCTAGTCCCACCTGCTTTCCTCTCCTCCCCTTCTCTTTCTCCTACTTCTCTCTCCACTCACTGCCCCCCCCACACACTCCCACTTCCCCTGTGCTCTGGGGAACTTGTCCCTTCCTCCTTCTGTGAGGGACTTTATATGAATCTGTTGTATCCTAGTTCCTCTGGTGATGTGAATTATAGGCTGGTCATCATTTGATCTAGGTCTAAAATCCATGTATGAGTGAGTACATACTGTGTTCCTCTTTTTGGAATTGGGTTACCTTATTCAGGATGGTTTCTTCAAGTTCCATCTGTTGTTCTTTTGTTGCAGCTATTGCCTATGAAACACAAACACAAGACTCAGCGCCCACGTGGAATTTATTGAGAGAGGGGAGAGAAAGGGAGGTAGCTGATGGCCAACCGAAAGCAGGGGGGAGAGAGAGAAAGGGGGTGGGGCACTTGCTTAAAAAGGGGGACTTGCACATGTGTAACTGAGTCCCCTGTGCAGCCAGGTAAAGCCTGACCTAAGGATGACATGGCCATGAGTGTCCTGCCCATTGTTGGGGGCAGGGTCAGCAGACTGCTGGTTTCCAACAGTTAGGGTTACAGTTGGGGCATACCCCAATCATTGGGAAACAGAGGTTGTATCATATACAGAACTGAACGTAGTTTCCCTGTACTATAAGATGGCTTTTAAGCTGAAATTGGAGGAAGGGCAGTTCTTTAATTGCTTTTAACTAATTTTTAGTTTAGTGTTTAATTTTAACTCACGTGTTAAGTTTCAAACTTGGAACTGACAGCTGAGGTACCTATCAAAGTTGACTGAGCCTCTAGGTTCTCTCAGCATAACCTCAGTCCTTACCTGCTACAGGGTATGACTGGCATACACCACCCGGTATCCTGCACTCCCCACCCCAGGGCTGTGCTGCCCTGACTCCCAAGGCTCTTCGCTGCACAATCCAGACAATTTGGTCGTCAACTCCTTCTTACCTTTGACCTCCTGGTTCTGCACCTGGTTCTCCTCTCCTCCCTCTCTCTTCCTCTCCCCCTTATTTGGTCCCCAAAGTTA